ATTTGAGATGACTTTCTCATGTGGAGGTAAAGGATTAGAAATGGTTGAATTTCTTGTTTCTGCCATTCTTCCTTTTAATATAATTTTAATCTATGGTTAATATTATTTCTTTCATACTAAAGTTGGTATTGCCTGAATTTTCTATTTGTTTATAATGTCCGTAATATGTAGTGGTGTTCTTTTTTTATTATTTATATTATTTTGTGATGTTTGTTAATATTATGTACTAATGAATTTAATTTAATATTGCAGGTAAGGGACTCTTTTCAGTGAGTATTGTTCACACTGTTGGGTGCTGTTATCTTCATATGAGATATTGTTTCTTGTATGGAGAAAAGTTTAAGCTCATGTTTGATATTGTTTCTTCCTTCCTTCCTGTCTTTATTTATTTAGTTTTTGCTTAAATGCTAGATTTACAAGCATATATTGTTTAATTTTTTTTTAACTATATGGTTAAAAATCTTTGTTCAGCACTGTTGTTTGTTTTTTGGCGGATATTGGCTTGGCGGCTAGCTCAAATGTGTATTCAATCTGCTTGGCGTATTATATTTATTTATTTCTAATGACTTGTCGCTAATTTGCTTACTAACAATTTTGATGTGACTGTCAGTTTACAGTTATATTCTTTATCCTGTGCTGTGAAATATATTTGTTTGTCTTGTTTATTTATTGTGGCGTAATAAAATTGAGTAACTTTGATTTCTTTTGTGAGAAGCCTGGTAATTGTGAAATTTTTGAGTTTTATAAAAATTGATAATTACCATCTATATCACTGTTTACATATTACTCGGAAGAAATTGTTCCGAGTATTCTTTATTTTGATTGGTTAACATGTTACCTAGATATAGGACGCTCATATATAATTCTTTGTTTCGGGATTCGCGGCACATTTGAAATTTATTGTTGAAATTATTTACCCTCCCAACCGTCGCTTACAACTGTGTTAGTTATTTGTATTTATTTAAAAAAATAGTGCTTATTTAACCGTGACTAGCTCAAATGTATATTCGATCTGTTTGGCTTATTATATTTATTTATTTCTAATGGCTTGTCGCTAATTTGCTAAATAACAGTTTTGATGTGACTTTCAGTTTACAGTTAGATTCTTCATTCTGTGCTGTGAAATATATTTATTTATCTTGTTCATATATTGTGCCGTAATAAAATTGAGTAACTTTGATTTCTTTTGTTAGAAGCCTGGTAATTGTTTACTCTTTACAAATTGTGACTTGGATAGAAATTGATATTCAACAGAATTGTTGTCATTATATTAAAACTAATAATATATTATTATGAATGAGAGAGGAAGAAGATATAAAAGTAACATATAACCGTAAATGTTTTATTATTACTGTAGATATTTTATTATAACTGAGGAAATGATATCATTTCTGTAGATATCACCTCACATATGTGCATTTGGTTGACTTTCATGTTCAGCTCAGGGTCTTCATCATGTAGGCTGAAAATTTAAATTTATAAGTTTAAAATTTACAACACGTTGCGAATTAAATAAAATGACAAAATAAAGATCTTGTTGTATGAGCATTTGTATATCCAACTGGAACATTGAGAAAGAAACCGGTGCTAGCATTTTGTCATTTGAAGTAAGTTATTTCAATATATTCCTGCAATAACAATGTTAAACGTTTTGTTTGTCAGGTTAATCAAATCAGAGAACAACAACTCCCTTAGAAATGAAAACATCAAAGGAAATCTAAATGGAAACATTCAGTGTTCAGCACAATGAGGTGCCTGTAGAATATTTCACGCACTGAAAATCGTCTGTTGTCTATTAAAGGTGTATTGATAATAGAATGATTTCCTATTTAGCCAGAAGCTAGACAGTGATACATTATAACGTGAAAGTACCTGCTGGATTGGTAAGATACACACTTCAAAATTCTCGATACTACGAATTACAAGTGAAGGTATGGTTAGCACAATAAATCGTGCATACTCATATAGGAAATACAGGATTTAACTTTGACATAAATTAGATGTAAGGTATAGGACAAAAAGGTAGCGACACTGCAACAAAAACAACTAAAAGAATCTGAAGGTCAACATCCAGGTGAATATCAACAAAGCCAAGATCTTAATAGTCTGAAGTTAAATAAATGTGAAAAATTATCTGAGACTGAAAAAATCTGTAACCATCGTCAGATTTACTAAATGATATATAACGTTTAGACATGATAGAGACAAATACCAACGAGGTTTTTGACTTGGTATACAAACTTCACAATTTATGGAGGTTTAAAAAGCAACCTTGTCTCTTTTTAATTGCTGTAAAAAGTTAAAACAATATTATACTAGTACATGTATATGAATTGCAAGCGTACGCAGCGTTTTATTGTATTTATCTTCTTTAAAATAAAGATCCCTATTTCTATACCTAAAAATACTAATCGAAGTTTCATGAATTTATCCCGCAACAGTAAAAGTTATTCATTTTCAAAACAATTATGATATTCAGTATTGGATGAAAGAAATTCTAGAAAAAAGTGTTGTGTTGACGGGTTATCTTTGAATATAATTTTATTTATAACTTTGAACCTACATTTGAACTGCAACTTTTTTTTCCACAACAGTCTTCATTGGTTATTTCATATGTACAGCTGTCCCCACAGTAAGTGCCAAAATAATCCATTAGACAACTAGTCTGACTCTACACCTGAAATGGAAGCAAGTACATTATTGTTGTGATCTTGATTTCCCCAAAAATTGAAAAAAATGAAATCAATTGCTAATAGAATGTTTTGTGTTTTAGTCAGTTGTTTATTGCTTTTTTTTTCTTTTGGCTTTGGTGTTTTATATCTGTGTTTTTTAGACTTTTTGAATAACTTTTTCTTAGATTAACTGAAAATTTACCAATTATTTTATTCAATGCAAATTCATGTTCTTGTATATTCCCGAAAGCAGTTGAAATAAAAGGTTAAAAAGAGATTTTCATGATTAATTCTTGCATTGGAAAATTAAAACGAATTGATATTCGAAAATTAGATTTAGGAAACATATTCTTTTAAGTTTAATAAAAAAAGAGAAAATAAAAACATAGATATTCATCAATGTGTAACTTACATCCAGGGGTAGTATCAGGGGGTGTGGTAGCGGGCGTTGTATTGGGCGTGGCAGGTATAGGTTTACAACAAACCCTGTTGCCGCAACATCCTTTTATCTCTCTGATTCCATTGCATGTTTCACCTTCATCTTCATTGATACATTCCGAACCATCAGCGCATGTGTCTATGCATAAATTATTAAAAAAATATATGTGTACTGTCCTAATTAATTTTAGTTATTCGTTGTTATTCTGTGGTTAACATGTCGAAATGTACTATTATGTTATTTATTTATGTATTTATCTGTCTATGTTGTTCTTGCATGTATTTGTACTGTATTCCCGTCATGTAAAGTTGTCGTTTTAGCGCTATATTTAACATTGCCATAAAGCGCGGAGGTATGGCTAGCCACAAAATCAGGTTCAACCCACCATTTTTTTTTAAAATGTCCTGGTCAGGACATAATACCAAGTCAGGAATATGGCAGTTGCTATCTAATAGTTCGTTTCTATGTATGTTGCATTGTTGTTCATTTTTTGTTGTACTTCTATGTTCTGTTATTTCGTTGTTTTCCTCTTATAGTTGACGTGTTTCCCTCGGTTTTAGTTTGTAACCCGGATTTGTTTTCTCTCAATCGATTTATGACTTTTGAACAGCGGTATACTACTGTTGCCTTTATGTATGATTACAAATAAATTAATTACCAACCAGAGTAAAACTTTTGTAAATGTAAGCACCTGTATGTCACTGTACGACCTTATACGATAAGTGAAACCCATATTGTATAGTAAGATATAAAATTTGATATTGATAGCACGACGAGATCCTTTTTTATCACAATGCACGGAATGTGCTGCGAATAAATTATATGGAAAAAGAAAAAAATAAAAAAAATACCGAACTCCATGGAAAATTCTAAACGGAAAGTCCCTAAGCAAATGACAAAATCAAAAGCTCAAACACATCAAACGAATGGATAACAACTGTCATATTCCTGACTTGGTACATGCATTTTCTTATGTAGAAAATGATAGATAAAACCTGGTTTTATAGCTAGCTAAACCTCTCACTTGCATGACAGTCGCATAAAATTCCATTATATTGACAACGATGTGTGAACAAAACAAACAGACATAATAGGCAAAATAAGGGTACAGCAGTCAACATTTATAGAATAACTAATCGAAGAATTCCAATAGAGAAAAATATTCAACGAGTGACCGAACAACTCATTAATTCACGAATGCGCGTAGCGCATGAGGTAATTATCAGTGTTGTTCGGTCACGAGTTGAACATTTTTTCGATTATTTGAATTCTTTGATTAGTTATTCTTTTTATCACATTGACAAATGGCTTTTTTCTGAAATTAAATTAGAAAATGTAAGGAACATAATCTTTTTCTAAGCATTCACTGTTTGTTTTGATCCGACGTCATGACAACGCCTATTGTTGTATGACGTCAGAGGAGTGAAATAACCACATTTATTTCACATGTGAAATTATCGGTTTTTATTTCACTGGGAAATCAATGTAATTCATTGCAACCAATGTAATAATGTGTTATAATCTTAATCACTTTAAAAATTAACAATCATGTCAACAAAAAAACTAACAATCATGTCAACAAAGAAAAACAAAAAAAGCATATAGACCTAGCACACCAGCAAAAACGAAAGTTAAGCACACAAAAATTTACCATAGCACAATAAAATAATGACGGGATATATAACATGTATAAGTACCGAGCCACGTCAAATGGATATTACCAAAAATAGACTAAACGGTAAAAGTAATAATTTACAAAAACAAATAAAAGAATAATATAACACGTCATTAAGATGATAAACAACGTCAATACCTAGCATTTATACTTCAAGACCATCGTGTATTATTTGTGAAGTTGATACATTATATTAATCAACAAGGTGTCTTCCGATGAACTCTTTTGTTTAGAAAAGGGACATCCCTTCTTTGACATAACTCTGGTTCATCAACCTTTTTGCTCAGACACTGGTGACGTTTTACAAAGTCTGAGTAGCAGCTGCAAGCTTGTGAAAACCGAATGAGTTTGGAAATGTATATCCCATGTGCAGGTGAAGTTGGTATATTGCTAATAAGGTGAGGGAATTTGATAATTTCAAAATAAAAATCGTCTCTCGTTTGTCATAGATCCTGGTACTGAGATGACTGATTATGTCAAATTCGAGGTAAAAGTCTAACAATGAGGCAGATGAAGCCGTTTCGGTTGTTTCTTTAATTCTAAAATAATAGTTCTGAAGGTTACATTAATGGAATCAGAAAGTCCATTAATTTGCTAATCCAACATTATGAAACGATATCTCGACATTTCCATTGACCATTCGTTATGTCATTGATTACTTGCAAAGGTAAAAAAAACGATGTTCATTTCCTCCATGACAACGGACATATGTGATTTTTTCTATCAGATATTAATCACTCACACTTTTCTATCCTAACAAATTCGTTTTGTCATATAATTTTTATTTACTGAAGCGTACAAAAACTTTTCTGATGTTTAAGTCTGACGCCGGAAGAAGAATATATAACGTCATACTGGTATGTGCTAAAGACTAGATCTACGAATCGGGAAATTTTCTATTCAAAATAAAGATAATTTTACACATAATAGAAACAGAAATTCGTAAGGACTGGATATTGCTATAAATCAAGTCAATTTTTGGGGGAAAATAAATAGCAAAAAAAAAAGCTTCGTTTAATGCATATCAACATTGAATAACTCGTATGGACATTAATCGATATTGAAATCACACCCTTTATGAAATCTATGCATATCAATATCCAACATAACAGACTGCTATGCTATACAAAAGTAAAAAAGTGGCTGAAACTTTGTCAATTTTGAAATAATGTCAACACATAAGAACTGACTACTTGATTTGTTATACCCTTATTGACAAATCGTCTATTCAATGGTTGTAAAAACTCATCAAAGATAGCCGACTTATAATATCCTGTTAACTAAAAAGCTACACAAATTTGATAGCAACAGTTTGAGTTTACAGTATTTGAAATAAGCATTAATTTATCATTTTTTTATAGGCTTAACAAGAAGCTGAGTTGAGCGTTAAGTGCTGTTCCTGTACTAAAACTGATTTGGAATATAAGATGTTAGGGTATCATTTGTTTAATCCATCATTTTCTACATAAGGAAATGCATGTACCAAGTATGGAATATGACAGTTGTTTTCCATTCGTATGATTGTGTTCCTTGGAGTTCGGTATTTTTGTTATTTTACTTTTATTTTACTTTTTACTGTTATTTTTAGAGGAAATCCTAGATAATCATAAGTCTGTTCTATGTTCCTTTGGAATTTCAACCAAAGATGAAGAACTGGATCTTCCATCACTGTATTGGATACCTAAACTACATAAGTGTCCTTACAAACAACGGTATATTGCTGGGTCTTCCAAGTGCTCCCCTAATCCTCTTTCTAAATTATTAACATCAATTTTATCAGCAATCAAAGCCGGGCTTCAAAGTTATTGTGAAACTGCCTATTCTAGAGGTGGTGTGAATCAGATGTGGATACTTAAAATTCCAAAGATCTTTTAGAGTACATACAATCTAAGACTCTTTCATCTTGCAATAGTACTAAAACATTTGACTTTTCTACACTTTACACAAGTATTCCCCATTCCTAACTAAATGACAAATTGAAAGAGTTGGTATTGCTTTGTTTCATAAAAAAGAATGGCCAACGCAGATACAATTATCTTGTCTTAGGGAGGGATAAATCATACTTTGTAAAGAATCACTCTGATTCAAACAAAAAAGTCTCTGAAACTGACATTATCAAGATGCTTGATTTCTTGAAGAATATAAATAGCTTCAGCCTGGAAGATCACACAGCCTTAAATGATTCTCGAAATATAAGTTTTTGTGAGTTGGACGTTGTAGAATCGGTGTCCGTTCACAGTGACCTTTCTTGTCGACGAAACCTGGAAAGAAGGTCGACAACTAGTCTAGCTGCACCATCTAGCGCAGAATCTGTTTTTTAAGATGTGTAACGTCCCCTGCGGATACTGTCGGCGAACGGAAATACGGCCTTGGAGGTGGAGGCAGTGGAGCATTTTGTCCATACCTTGTAGTAGCTGCAGTGCATGTAGTGTAACAGCATATAAACGAGGAAAAGAAATGAGACCATGGTGCATTTGTTGTCAATTCAAAAGCTGCACTTGGTAAGAATTAAAAAGTTTCTCTCTAGATTCTGTATACACATTTTACTGGGTGGAAAAGGTGTATAGTTTCATGTCTTGTATAAATTAACCTGCCCCACACCTCTCTTTTTCTATCTTGAATTCCCCTCTGTTATGGTCTGGGGTTTATGTGGTTTGGGATGAAAAAGCATAATTTTAAGGGGAAGTACTGCCCAAATTTTTTTAGAAGCTCGACTTTAGTAATTTTTCTGCAATTTCACCCCTGGAAGTTCTTCATTATTCTGCAATTTTACCCCTGGAAGTTCTTTATCAATTTTGCAATGAACAGAAATACTTAACAGCATAAGGTGCATTTCATTTTGCAATAAGAAGGGGAGGATTATTTTGTAAATAATTTTTTGGTAGCAATTTATCATAAATGAAATAAGAATTGAAAAAGAAAACAAACACAGCCACAATGACTCATTCACAGAAATGATGTTTTACAAACATAAAATATTAGGTGTTTTTATCTTATAATCAGAATTTTATATTAAACATCTCTTACATGTGATTATCGACCAAGTGGTTTGACACCTTAGAGATTTAGTCATTTAAAAACACACCTAGAATGATGTTTAGAATGTACATGATGTAGGTTAATGCATGTAAGACAAAAAAGAAAATGAGGGACGGACAAGCCACACCTTCCCCCACATTTGGGGCCTGTTCAATTTAAAATTTGTTTCATTTTCTATAAATTTGTGCCATTTTAAGTAAATAAATGTGAATTAAGAAAAAATTGACAATACAGAACTATTACTCAAATAAGGAATGGTTACTCATTTAGGGAAATGTTCTCCATTTGCTGGGTTATGCCCAACCTGTCTAAAAAGGAAGTCTCCTTATACATGTACATGTAGTTTATATATACAATATATATTTATAAACTACATGTATGTATTTTAGTGACCATTTTGGTGAGCATTATCATACCACAAATTCAAAACTTTTAACTGCACAAAATGGATCAATTAATTCTTATGAATCAAGAAATATATGTATACATGTATATATGACTTTTAGTATATATGTTGGTATATATATATTTTTCTTATCATTAGTGAATCAAGTAATTTTTAGGTGTAATACCACCAAATCATAGTACTGTCTACGTCACATCCGGTTGCATACGAAAAAGGGTCGATAAAAAATATTCCCTTGAGTTTGACAGTTGTAGGAAATTTATCCTACATTTCATTGCAGTAAAAAAAATCTGTGTCATAGACATATATCTTGGGTGTTTCAAAGCACCATTATTTTCTTATTAGGTGTTTCTATAGAATATTTTGGAAACTTGAGGTTACATGGTTACTAAAGCTTGTACACAGGAAGAAAAAAGGTGAAAATTTGTTTGTTTAACTTCCTGTGATGGTTATTTTCTTATATGCAATGAAACATTATGTGAAATTTTTTCTATAGTACTGGACAGGATAAAACTTTACTCATGCCAAGTATTTCTTTATTTGAAACAAAGATAAACTCTGCCCAATTTTTTGAAAAGTACAAATTTAACAAAGACTAATAGGGGAAAATCAATGGTGGTATTACACCTATTAGAAATTTATATGAGTCTGTGATCTATAAGTATAAAGGCAGATATGAATTTACAATCATATTTTATAAATATATATATATATATATAAAAGCAATTGTTTATTCCAAAGAAATTCTGAACTCAAAATAGTTTATAGTTTAGCTTTAGCATTATCTAATTAACCAATGCAGACTGACATTTCATATCAAGCACAAAATCAATGGTTTTAAAATGAAAATACTTGATTTTTCAGGAATGATACATGCAGGAATTGGTGCCACACATTTTAACAAATTTCTAAATGGATTGAATGTACCTCCTGTGAACTCCTCCACCATATAGAAAAAGGAGAATGAAAATGGAAAGATAATATTTGCAGTTGCAAAAGAATCCTGTTAATTAAATCAAGAGAAGGAACAGTTAATGAGATATTGGAAGGTAATTAAATCTTTATTTTTTTTTTTTTTAATTTTCCAAAGTAGATATAGAGTATAATGAGGCCCATAATTATATTCATATTTTCCCTTGCAGTCATAGAAAATGAATTAGGTTTATAGATGATACAGATCTTGGTAATAATTTCAGGTTTAGGGTCAATATTTCAAACTAATTTTGTGATAAAGCAATGCTACATATACTTGAAGACTTGCATGTATAGATCATGACAGAATTTGTTTCAGCAAAAATATTGAATTAGAATTTTTTTCAGTTTGTGAGTTAATTTATAGTTAATGTATAAAAAAATGGCTCGTTTATCATTATTTTGTTATTGAATAACCGAAGTTGATAACAAGCGATATAAAAGTCTCACTCATGATTGAAAGGTATAATTATATAATTTTACTCTCAATAACATTTTTTTTAATATTTTTTATTAATTGTAGATCTTATGGTTGATCCCCACCCTTTAACATCAGGTTATTAGCAGCAGTTTTACAGAAAAATGAAGGATATACATCGCTGTCAATGGTAAATACATGTTAGGATAATTAGTTAGCTTTAAGAAAAAACTTGAGTCTTCATTTGAGAGACTTATTAATCTGATAAGGGTGTTTTCCTTGCATAAACATTTGTTTTCTGGACAATTGATTTAGTAGGTTTTAGTTTGCCTCAACCAAGTTCATATCTCAGCAACTATAATTGTAGGTTCATGTAAACTTGTACACAGATGTCACTGACCTACATTTGCCACTTCATTGACTTTGGTTTTGTTTAACGTTAGATTTCATATCTCAGCAACTATAAGTTGTAAGATCATGCAGACTAACACACAGATGCCTCTCAGTTAGTAACTCAGTTTCCATGCAAAAGAAGGTCACTGTGATCCACATTTTACGCTTTCAATTTGTACTATATTTAAATATTAATATATTATCAAGACTGCAACTGGTTCCTTTGTGCCACAATGAAGCCAACTACATTTGTATGTAATGTAGATTACCCATTTTTATCACACACTTGTCACATGCTGTATATGTATACCCAAAAGAACAGTTCAACTGTATTGATTTAAGGTAAATGGTCAAGGTCACAGCTATTAAATATATACTTTGTAATTTGCATTTGTATTGGAGACTTTTCTCTAATGCTCCCTATATTGTCACTTATATTTCATTCTAAATTTCCATTGTACATAAAAACAACCACTAAAAAGGATGTACAATGTACATCATATGCAGAAGCAATATAAAATCGTATACCCATCAGTTGACCTAATTATTGCAATCACTTCAAAAAGCTGGCCATATGTCACATTAGGTTAAACGTTTAATGATGCAGAGTGCCTTTGTTAGTCAGGTATATAATCTTCTTAAATTGATGCTTTAATGCATGATTGGATTAATTTTGCGCTATAGTATATTACAACATTTCATAACAAATAAATAAATTAAACTTTCAGGTAAATGCAGCATCAGAACGTTCTTCAGGCCAATTTACTCTCAAAGTTTGGGAAAGTATAAATTGGAGAGGCAAAGAGATAACCAGAAAACAAAGAATTTGAAAATAAAAAGAATAGAAAGAAGGCCTAACATAGTTCAAATATTAAAGAAGGAAAACATATGAATAAGAAACTGAAGTAAACGACACTGCTTGTGACATTCAGCAAACTCCTTCTCTTATTCTTTGTAATATATATGTATACAGATCAATGTGTAGATTTTGATTTGGAAACAAGACATCTTTCAAAAAATAGGTGACATCACTCAGTTGGCAGCTGACAGTGGACCAAACCTATTACAGAGTTGTATCATGCCAAGATGTGACATTTCAAATAAAGCAAGCAAAATAACTGGTATTTTCTTTTCGTCATGCCACTAATATGGTATATCTGAATGGGAGAGAAGTTGAAACCTGTACTATTCAACATGGAAGGATTGACAATTTTGACAGGGAATAAAGTGAACTCTAAATATGCTATGACTATCAATCAGTATTTGACTGAATCAGAGGAGTAAACTATATATGTATTTAAATATAGGAGTCTATATTGTTGCTTAATTATTGAGGCATTGAAAATAAAGAAAGTTGAAAGACTCTTGAAAAAGTTATAAATTCATCATTTTTTGGTTATGTTACCATGACAACTAAAATATATAATGTGTATGCTTCATCAAACTTAAATCATCAATTGAGGACAGGGTGAAAAAGTCTTGAAATTTCTAATCCATTTACTTGCATGACTGGTACCTATGAATCAATAATTGAAAGGAAAAAATATATGGGGATTTTTGTTAACTGCTGAGTAATTTATTTTGCTCATTTTAGACCATAGTAATGCCTATAAAAGCTGCATTATCATGATATCATGATATTCGTTTATATTTACTTAGAAGCCATGTGTTATAGCTCTGAAATCATGGCATTTTATCTCTTTTTGTCTGTTAGTAGTAATACTTGCACATCAGAACAATGTAAAACCTAGAATTTTCCTACTTCTTGTCCTATTACCATGGTAACCATTGTTCATAGAAACATAAAATAGCTTTCATTTGATTCTCATCTGAAACTATATTGATCTGCGTAGGTTTAACAAAAGATATGACAACATGTGTCACACTTTGTAAACACAATGTTGAAAGATATACAAAGAACTGCTGTTGATCACTGTGTCGGCAGGGGTAACAAAAACGTTTTTAGGTAAAAAAAATAGTCTGGTGACTCATATTTTTTTTTATTTCTTTAAAGCTCATTGTTTTGACCATCTTATGTCAAATTTAAAAAAAAAATTCAATGGACCAATTTTTTGGAAATTTTAAAAATATAGAAATTTTTAACCAAAATCTCTGTTTTTTGTGTACAGCAGTGTTGATGAAATTGGAGCTGGATTTAATAAATATGTATAAAACTGCCATAATTTGTGTTTTATTTACATTTTTAACATTATATTTGTAATAAATGAAGACTTAACCTTTCAAAATACTTCCAAAGGCTTGAAAAAAATCCAGAATTTCTACTTCAGGTATGTATTTATTCATATTTGTGATGTACCATCTTTGGTGACCGTTACCATGGAAACGAATGTGGTGACATGATGTTTTTAACTCAAATTTTTATAGAGACCATTGCATATGTTATGTATGCAAATTTTAAGAAAAATTCAATGATGAATAACAAATTGCTGTATCTGTAGGGATCCACCTTAATTATATAAAAAAAAATGAAATCTTTACAACGATTTTAATAAATGAAAAGGATATTTATTGGAGGTTAGAATAAACATATAAACGGTTATTATTAATATCTCAATTATATATTCACAAGCAATGTACACTCAAAATGATAAAATCACAACACGAAAGAGGAATTCACAACACTGTCAATTTAGGCTCAGGCCTTTCGGATCCAACATAACTTCATATTTGCTATGCATTTGTTGCAGAATTTATTACCATTCTATAAAAATGAAAGCTCTATAATCACTCAGAAGAGCGTTAGTTTTACATGTTTTCACACGCTCAATAATTGCTTGAAATTACAAATGAAATTTGAATGCTTATATATTGGAGGTGAGAATTCATCTAAATGTCACATAATCAGCACCGGGAAATAGTCGTTAATACAACTGTGCGTATATTTGGAAAGGGCGGGGTTGAAATTAATAACCTGACATTACAACTAGCTAAAATTGAAAAAAAGTTAACTTGAGAAATAAATACTGACCAACAAAATGTTTGAAACAGTTTTGCATGAAAAAAGAAAATAAGTAATCATGCAGCATTGTCTCAAGAGATAATAATCGTTTCTTCCAAATGATTGGTTTTTGTGTGGGACCCCCCCCCCCCCCCTCCCAATAATATTAAATAGTTTTTCCCTTTAAAGAATAGGACCTAGACAAACATATCCATTGATGAGTAAATTGTGTCTCAAGTGTCTATAACAACAATTTTACCTTTCACGAATCCATTTTGAAATGTAAACATAAAATACACCAAAGATACTAGTCTTATAACTTTGAACGCCTTTACATCAAATTTTAACTAATCATAAAGGTTTGAAACCTATGAAAGAAACTGAGGTATTAAAAAATCATAATCCAGACAAAATAAATCAGACAAATAGTAATCATAATCTCTGAGCGTCTAGTAATCATACTCTATTCGCTTCCTAAGCATGCTAAAAGTTTCAATTGAATTGTCGGTACTCCATTTTTAGTTGAACGTCTTTTGATCAAGAATTGTGCTCCTGCTGGGTAAACTCTTTCTTTTTCTGTGTAGCAGGCATAATCCTCAATATTGAGCGGTTGCCACTGCGAATCAGTCGAGTTGTCAATAACGAAATGCACTTCCAAGTCGCCGCTTGGTGCACACGATGGAAAAATCTGAGCACATTGCTGTTGAACAGAGGATGAAATAAATGATAACCACGTAAACTTTGTTCCTGGTTGGTACTTTGCTAGATCTCTCGCAGAAATTTTCATTTTGCGATATGTTTTGGTTCTCTCTCTGACCAAATCTCTCCAACAAAACAGAAGTAGATGAAACATCAGTATATATGGTCCGAGTGCTAGATCATTTGCTGTAGGTTTGAAGCCTGTATCCCGTTGTCGCCTCAACGCTGTGTTCATGTTCGTATATAATTGTGTAGTTTCGTCAGTATATACATTAACGATTCTTCTGTAAAAGTCCAATTTGGTGGTACACTGACTGACTACTTTGCTTGCTTCCTCACAACTTGAATTAAGTGCCTGCGCAACTTTATCCCTAACAGCCATCCAGTTGTTAGCTGTATTGACATGTTTAAATACATCATTCAATAAAACTGATAGTTGTTTGGTTTTGTCGACATAAGACGGATGGAAAGCTCCTTTGTACGCCGCCAGTGTAAGTCTGAATAGACCGTACTCTTCATTTTCGATAGAGCTATTCCCATCGTAGTATGTTTCGATATCCTCTTCACGTATAGAAGGTATGTGGTTCTTAATGATATTCGAAACCTCTAAATATCCAAACAATTCAGCTATTTGCTGTGCCGTATGACCACCGGTTGGTCCTTTTTCAGAAATGCTATCTTTTGCCTTTAAATCTTTGTCGCATGCTTGAAACTGTATGAGTTTCTTGATTGCAGAGGAATTGTTCCACCAAACAGCCTGTTGTAGTAAACCCCATCGTCTATCTTCAGGTATTATATTTATGAGGTATGGTTTCAGTGGTCGGCTTGGGGTCCCTAGAATTCGCCAAACTTCTGGCCACTTTCCCATTTTAGCTGCCGAGAACATGCTTTGGATATCTTTATGGTCCTGTTCAATACTCCGTGTAGAGGATGATATTGCACCCATTTTGAAGTGTCTAAAAAATGATATATAAACTTTTAAAAATGTATTCATAGCTAGAAAAAAATACTTCTTGACATTTACTTAATAATAAAAAAACGAAAAGTATTTATAAAATCCCAAAACACATTTTAGACTAAAACAAATGAACGCTGAATAAGCAAATTGACCATTGATTTGGTTCAAAATGTCTGCTTATCAACGATCATCCCAGCTGCATGATATCAATTCGAAAACAAGTTATATGCTGACTTACGCTCGCGAAAAAAAATCATCAAAGATACCAAGCTGATAATTTTGTACGCCAGACGAGCGTTTAGTCTACATAAGACTCATCATTGAATGAGACTCAAATCAAAACAGTTGAAAGGCCAAATCAGATACAAAATTGAAGAGCATTAATAGTAAAGAAAAAATCGCGGGGTAGAGAAATTAAAAATAAGGAAATGTGGTAAGATTATCAATGAGACAACTATCCAGCAAAGATCAAATGAAGTGAATGAAAGCAATTATAGGCAACCGTACGGTCTTCAACAATGAAAAAAACCCAAACCGTATAGTCTGATTTTTAGATGGTAACGTACCCTTGTCACCATCTTATGGTGTTTATATATTTCAACTTGTTCGATTCGCTCGTGTATGCAACAACGTATTTGATTTCATCGAAAGAAATCTCTGTATTACTGAAAAATTATTACACCAGGGTTTTAGATATAACAAACTAATCAAAACATTTACTAAATTTTATCATCGATACAAGGACATCATTCCTAAATATAAATCAACATGCAGACATCTTATACGTTCAGGTATTTCACATCCAATCTTTTATGGTAATATTCTTTACAAAGCACAAAACTTTCGTCATTCACCTCAAAAGCTAACCAAACCTTTAAACAGACTTATTCAGAAGGGATATATTTACGATACTGTTGTCAGGTCATTAAAGATGGCATATTCTGGTATTAATATTGATTCACTCATAGGGTTTTTGCATCAGAAATAAACACATTTATTCTAAAACCAGTTGTTGGCATGATACGGGTTATGTTCTTCTCATATATTTTATGATGGTATGATACTAAACCCCTAACGGGAGGGATTGTGCTTGATTTTCATATGATGAATACATAATCTTTCAATCAGTTTAATTGAGGTCTGTAGCTGACATATCAGTAACTGGTAGTAGTCCTTAATTAATTTATGAATCATTGTCATTTTGCATAGTTTCTTTTATAACTTATTCTGACATCGGACTCGGACTACTTTTAAACTGAGTTTTACTGTGCGTATTGCTGTGTGTTTGTTTATTCTACATTGGCTAGAGGTAAGGGGAGGGTTGAGATTTCACAAAACATGTTTAACCCCTTCGCATTTTTGCGCCTGTCCCGAGTCAGGAGCCTCTGGCTTTTGTTAGTCTTGTATGTTTTATTTTAAATTTTAGTTCATTTATATGTTTCGGAGTTTAGTGTGACGTTCCTTTTCACTGAACTATTACACATTTTTGTTTAGGGGCCAGCTGAAGCCCGCCTCCGGGTGCGGGACCTTCTCGTTGTGTTGAGGACCCATTGGTGGCCATGGGCTGTTTTCTGCTCTTTGGTCGGGTTGTTGTCTCTTTGACACATTCCCCCATTTCCATTCTCAATTGAATTGAGAAAACTAACGGCCTAATTTATAACAAAACAATTAACGAAAAACAAATATGGCAACCACTGAACTACAGGCTCCTGACTTGGGACAGTCACATAAAGAATGTTGCGGAGCTAAACATGTTTGTGAGCGCTCAACCCTCCCCTAGCCTGGGACAGTTGTGTAAGAGCACAGCATAAGAATAAACTATGAAAATCAGTTGAAAAAGGCTTAACTCATCAGATCGGTACAAACAAAAACATCAATCAAAAACACAGACAGGACATGGCTGGGTATATATCCATCCCTCATCCCTAACAACAAAAAAGACACTAAGTACAGATCTGAGAGTACTCACAGCTATTGACAGCTAGTTCATAGCAAATAACAACTAATATAAAAAATCATGTATCTAAGACTAAAATATCAATCAGTACACATCCAATGGATTTAGTGTAAAGACGTCATTATTAGTCAGAGAAAAACACGACCTTGTGCAATGCCAAAATAAAGGTATCGACATATTGTAGTACCGTGAAAGTACATATGTGTAATATTTAGTATGGTTTTAATTTACTGATAACAAAATCAATATTTATAGCAATAAAAACAATATTCAAAGATACAGTGTTGAATTGGTAAGCTGTAAGAATAACTTTATTTAAAGAATTGATAATTTTATCCGGAACGTATCGATTTTGTTAAAATATACTCTTTCACTTTTTTGGTCTTTTGGAAAATGTTGTTTGTGCTGTATTTAGACCCCTCTACAAAGAAATTTGTTTTGCATGCACAGGTATAATATATATATATATAAACAAGTCTAAATTGAAAACAACGTTCTAACCTATGATTGCGTTGGATAAAAGCCGCAATTTTTATACGTGTGCATGCAAAACAAATTTCTTGGTAGAGGGGTATAAATACAGCACAAACAACATTTTCCAAAAGACCAAATGAGTGAAAAAGTATATTTTAACAAAACGCATTTGACTAGCAGGTCGAACAACTGATGTTCTTAAACCCTGCTGACTGCCATTGGCGATTGCCAAATAAACGGATCACAAGATGTAACAAGATAGATCTTATTATTAATTTATTACCAAACAGAAAACAATAAACTTGCGGAAAAGATATATATATATATAAATATATATTGCTGTTGTAGTCAACTTAATAATTTTTACGTTAGTGGTTTTTATCGAACGATGCCTCTAATAATTATGAATTAATTTTTATTAGAAAAACTGCATATATTTCCATAATTTTGGTTTTGGTTAAATATGTATTTCTTTTACAGTGTTGCTACGTCATTCGAAATAAATTTTCCAAAATCTGCCAAAAACTTTAGTTTTGAATGAAGGCAACAGTAGTGAACCGATGTCCGGCTCTCGTAGATCGATTAGGAACAGAAAAAACAAGATAACGAACAATCAACACTGGGAATATAATTTATATCAGTTTACGAACTCTAAAAGCCATTGATACCGGATGCGTCGACGGGATAAGCGTCTCCTTTTATGCATGCACCACCTGTCATGCGAATTCACACTCAGTCAACATGTCACAATTAGAAACAGGACAGAATTGGTAAAATTACAGATCAGACGACTATACTGGTACCTAAAGATCTAAGACAGAGAAAACATGTCGCTATTGAGTTGGGGAAACCGACACATCGTCTCGGTAAACCAATTTGTGATGGGGACTAAACATTATGTAGTGTCGATTTCAGTCGTTCTTCCTCATAACTCATTTGGAGCAGTTTTTTGTGAGGCAATCTTTGAGCATTTGTTTTTAATAATTAAGCACATTTTCGAAAGTACTCATTTGAATACAGGATACCTTAAGTTTTAGAAAAAAAAAGATCGAAGGACTTCTAGAAAATGGCATAGTGTGAAATACATTCAGGAAAAATCGGTCATACCTTAGTGTACCAGGTCAGCGGTTCAGTAGCCCTTTTCAGAAAAAATAACTTACATGTACTGAAGTTGTCGTGACTAATGAGTATATTTGTTTCTAAAGGGTTTCGATTAATGTCACCACAGCTTCTAGTTGCTACAATAGTCTGTATCGATAAAACAATTTTATTTCAAACAAATTACCACGCCGTACCATTATTGATCGCGCAATCACTTAAAGACAAGCTAGGATTTTAAGCAAATTCTACTACGATTTCAGTTAACTTCTGAATCCCTTACTAACCTTTGAAACATCATAAATATAGATATATAGATACATTCTACACATTTTTAGAAAACGTAAAAGGTCGTTTTGTCACAAGGTGAAGATCATTGAAATGTTTATATGGCAATTGTAGTTAAGGTTCATGATTAGGACAATCGCACTTATTGCGTTAACATATATCATATATATTAAAAGATGTTTGATGTGAGTTTGCACTGTAGATTGTAAGAATAAATGAATAGGTTATTTTAAGGTTCCTTATGAGGGATAATCAGACCTAGATATTTTTTTTATGAACACCTGTATAATTGGATGCTGCTCCCTGAATTTCTTTTAGTGACAATTCTCGTTTTGTTGCTATCTCATTGAGGTGTAACAAACATCTCCTTTAATTGGTATTTGTTTTGAAAATTGTCTGTTTACAGTTATCAACTGTATGTTTAAGTATTAAAGCGTGTACTGGTACATACCTCCTACCGATATACATTATTGTTTGTTAAGTAAACCAGTTTATTTTGATGTAGTTTTCTTATGTTAAATTTCACACAGATACATTGTTATATATATTTATATTCGTAAACGTGGAAATATAAGAACATAATTTTTAGTTTTATAGGTAGAGCAAAGGTGTCTGGTTGCTCTTTTATGTGGATGTCAAAAAATTATCTAGATCTTACTTTTAGATATGGTATGAGTTGACGTCAGAAGAAATTGTTGACACCGGTGGACAAGCATAATATATCGATTATACAAATGGAAATACTAACTATTATTAGTACATTTGGTTTTTACGTCTTTTAAAATCAAGTCATTCGTATCTTAAAATATGTTTAGATAAACTACGACATGTACAAATCCGTAACTGTAGACCTAATTCGATGAAGTCATTTAAAATACATTTTCTGCAAATCAAACTTTTTACGAATTAAAAACATTAGTTCATGGTTTCAAATTTATACTTTGAGCTATATGTTTTTTTTATATATAATTTCAGGAAATGTAATTTTTATCCATATGTTTTTTTGTAAAAGCAAACATATTTTTGCGGAAATCTTCATGAAATACAGTTTTCTGCAAATCAAACCTTTAACAAAATAGAACTAGTTCATGGTTTCAAATTTATATTTTTATCTCGGTTTTAGCAAACTTAGTCAGACTTGATCTGAGACTGTTCTATCTATCTTTGTTTGACCTTTTTGGTTTAAATACACGATATATCTCCCGAACTATTTTCAATTTCAACTAATCTGAATTTAAAAGGGCATTTGTGTTTCTCTTTTCACATGACTTGAGTCGTCTGTCGTTTTCAATGCTTATTATCATTGTTTCTAAACCACTGTGGCAAATCCGACCAAGATTCGTCTAACTATCCTAAGACATATAAGATGTCTACTTTGAAGTTGGTGCTTTTCATACCTGCCGATCTATTAATATACAATTAAGGGGATGATATTAGCATTACCACAATAATGAGATACAATAAAACTTATTCAAGTAAAATGGACGAATTTGATATCATTTGTGGCTACCCTTGTAAATGTTTTTCCTGAGTTTTAGCATATATTTGTATAATAACCTATAAATTTCGTTAAAGTCGATCTACAACAACATTCTGCATAGTCTGTTTATAACCCCTTAGTACGAGAGAGGCGAAAGATACCAAAGGGACATTCAAACTCATAAGAATATAAACTGACAACGCCATGGTAAAAAAAAGAAGATAGGCAACAGTACACAAGACACAACATAGAAAACTAAAGACTCAGCAACACGAACCTCACCAAAATCCGGGAATGATCTCAGGTGCTCAAGAAGGGTAAGCAGATCCTGCTCCACATGTGGCACCTGTCGTTTTGCTCATGTGAGTCCAAACCCGGTGAGAAATCTAATTCGGGGAGAGGAGAAAGGGATTGTGGTTACAACAATTGAAACATATCCGTCGTTATCTTAGAAACAACTTGTCGTTTGTAAAATTTCAAAGGCTTATCTACCTTTCTTTTTTTTTATCAGAGATTGCAATATTCATAGATTAAAATAAATTAAAGGCAACAGTAGGTTATATAATGGCCTATTTTATAATCTCGATAATTTATCTGGAACTTACAAATCATGATAGAACTAAATCTGAAACAATCGCAAGAAATCCAAACGGAGCGACAATTGGTAAGAGTCTCCGATATGTATGCATAACGTAGATAACGATTTAAGCACAAATGTGCACCGAAAAGTACGCTTTATATGAACAACATCTATATAGTTGTAGCTATCCTTGTTTGACCTCTTTGGTTTAAATACACGATATATCTCCCGCACTATTTTCCGCCGTCAAAACTTTGGGGCAGACAGATCAGCGTTAATACAGAATTCACGCGGAATTAAGACACACCAAAAACAACAAAACCGTAAAAACACAACAAATGATAAAGATAAAAATAAAAAACGAAAACTGCAACACCAACTGTAAATCCAAAACAAAACAAAAAATAAAAACGATACGTTTTGCTTTTTCATCGCCACATAAAATGAATATCAAGAAGAAGAATCTAAGTACAGAGTTTGATAAGATTACTATAATAATTATAGACAATATTCGGATATTTGCCTTTTCATTAATCTTGTTGACAGTAGAAATTTATCAATATGAAAGAAAAAAAAACATATAATCGTTTGGTAACAGAATCAGGAGTATGTTTACATGGTAAACCATGTAACCAATCTCCATTTGCCATTGAACATATTTTTAATAATGCAGAAAAATACTTACTTTTAGATGCAGTTATACGATGATACATTGAGTATATAGGAATTTTAAAAACAGTTTGCCACTTTTATACTGAAATGAAATAGAAAGTTGTGTTTTCGTAAAATGTTAAAAAAACCATTTCTAAAAAATACAATAGTATAAGTGGAATTTCTCGCAAACTATAAATAGATTTGTTTATAAACATAAATATTGAAGGCAAATATATTAAACATATACTGAAATCTATCCAAAATAAATTTGAAATTTGGGAATCACTGCTATCAAAGACAACATATTCCTTCTTTTACATTTGTTTGTAAAAATATAAAACTTAAATCAACATGTATTTTTGATCTGGTAAAACAGAATACACTATTATAATATGCTTACAGTGATCAATATAATAGATACATTATTGACTGACATTATACTACTACTGTATTGTATAACCAGTATCTTCATAGCCTCTCTTCGAAAGTAGCTGATATACTGGTTTAAATTTGTTCTTCCTTCCGTGCGCATGATATACTGTGTGATGCATTTTTAGATTAATAGTTTATCCACATAATAATCTTACACATGATGACCATGTATGAAATTTCGTCACATTTTTCTCAGGAAGTACAAATTAAGGATTTTTTTTTAATTTGGAAGCAAGCCTCATCATGCTCATGTGAGCATGCTATACTGCATAATTCGTTTTCACGTCCGTTGCTGATCAAATTCCTGTTTATCGAATACATATAGCGAGGTATTATGTTTTGGCAATCTGCGGATTAAATTTCAAAATACGTTTCCTCCGTTACGGATTATTTCCTTGAACTTTCCCCATATTTGTCACCGTCACCTTTATCTTGCCGACAATTAACTGTTCTTATTTGTTTTTCAATTGTAACAAGTCTGAATTTAAAAGGGCATTTTGGTTTCTTTTATCACATGACTAGAGTCGTCTGTCGTTTACAATGCTTATTATCATTGTCTCTAAACCACTGTGGAAAATCGGACAAGGTTTCGTCTAACTATCCTAAGACATGTAAGATGTGTACTTTTAAGTTGGTGCTTTTCATACCCGCCGATCTATCAATATACAATAATGGAGATGCGATTAGCCTAACCACAATAATGGGCTACAATAAAACTTATTCAAGTAAAATGGAGGAATTTGATATCATTTTTGGCCACCCTTATAAATATGTTTTAGCATATATTTGTAAAATAACCTATAACTTTCGTTTAAGTTGATCTACAACAACATTCTGCAAATGTCGGTTTATATCAACTTGTCGTTTGTCAATTTCAGTGGGTTATCTAACTTTCTTTTTTTTATTATCAGTTTTAGACAATCGCATGAACTCCAAACGGAGCGAGACATGGTAAGCGTCTCTGCTATGTATGCATCATCATTATCATGTAGATAAACGTTTATGAATCAAACAGTATACTATATATGAACAACATCAACATGATCTCCAAAACAAAATCGATACATTAGATTTACCAGACCACTTTTAATGTATCTAAAGAGCGAGTTGCTCAACACACATCGCAATGTTACAAACAATTGCTGATGTTGATCGTGAAACTTATGTAGTATCGATTTTGGTCATTCTTTCATATGATCCTGCTGAAGGAGGGTTTCATGGACTTTTAATATATTTGCATTTACCAAAATTTAAGGCTCGAAATATGTCCTCCATTAGGTATTAAATTAGAGTAATAATATTGTATTTAGAGAATTGCCGTCGTCATGCCATTTGAAATTTGGTAGTTGCACTGAAAACTCCGAAAATCAATGTTATGCTGAAATATTATGAAAGCTGAATTTAAATGACTTGGTCCTTATGATATACGTATTGGCCTATGTCCTTTATATTTGGATTAAAAATTTTAAGATTTTAACAATTAACGAGAAAGAATATATACTGTCATTTCCTAAGTGCAAACGTCCTTTTGAAGCCCGCAAATGATGACGACGCATTGAAAAGAACTTGGAACTGTTATACTGACATGAAATGAAATCATATTTTCGGAAAATACAATTACTCAAATTGCTATATATAGAATTAAAGGTATTTTCATCAACCAAAGATATATATGTCTACTAACATGTAAAAACACAGCAAATAGGATTTTATTCAAATTTATGGATACAAAGCCACAATTAGACCGTGAATTGTGCTTAACTAAACAATAAGAGCATCTAGTTTACATTAGATTCATAAGAATTAAAAAAAGTATAAACAGTAACTATGAAATATACTTTTTAACGACCGGTTTTTTAAACGCAGGTATTATATAAAACAGGTTAAAGTGTTCTTAGTTTCAAACTGATAATCCACATTAAATATACGTAAACGGATATGACAAAAGGTTGTATCAAATATAATAATCAAATATTTAAATAATGATATTTTAGAGAGGAATTGAAAAAGGGGATGACGTTTTGTAGCACTATTGAAATGGGGCCTATAAAAGGGCGTTTTAGCTTCTAGTTACGGTAGCATTCTTTATTTCAAGTTCACCTGGATATGTTAGATATAAGTATTCGCTGAAAAGTGGATTACTGAGTAACTGTTTCAGCACATCATCAAAATATATGTGAAAATGACACTAAGGCATTTGTCATAATTTCTGTCTTTGAGAATGTTTTGTATAAATTCCGTTTTATATGAACACGAAACAAGTATGCCAGTGACATTTTTGTCTGTTGTAAAATCCACAACTTAGCATGATCTTTTATTACAATATATCACCTTCCTAAAAATATTGTTTTATTCAGAAACCAATTATTTTAAAAGATTGTAAACGCATAAATCCAGTATAATCAGGAAATTAATGCGTTAAAATCATTCATAATATTTCGAGGACTTTTATCTAATTTTTTTTATGTCAACATCATTCGTCGGGTATTAAGTTAGAGTAATTAACTCATTATTGATTTTCTGTCAAAATCGATACCAGTGACGAGTCAACGTGAAATCCGGGTTTTGTTTGATCAGAGAAAAAGCCCGAGAAACCTAAAACAAAATTGACAAGATAAACGAAGTCAAACCGTAATATTTTTTTCGCAAAATTCTTTCGTCAATCATGATTATTAATCGCCACAATTATTTTGTTTTCGCCAGCGGAAACCCTACTTTATGAGCAGAACTGCCGCCGTCATTCCATTCATGCCCATTGGAAATTTGATACTGGCAAATCGATTGCACTGACAACTTCAAAAATGAATATTATTGCTTTTAAAATTTTATGAACGGTGATTTTGAATGCCGTGATCCTGAGGATATATATGATGAGTTTATCTATATTTGAATATGAAATTAAGATATTAAAAGTTAATGAGAAAGGATACACACTGTCGTATTTTTAAACGCCTGTTGCATATCCTCTATTTAAATGTATTTGTTTATAACACATACTGAGAGTAATGGAATTGACTATTCATAAAAATAAAAAGAACATACACATAGCTTAATTTTCATGCAATCATACTTGATATGAAATTGGTAACTGTTATATACTGACATAAAATGAAAGTAATATTTTCGTAAAAATTATTATTAAAATTGTTATGAATATAATTTAAAGGTTTTTTTCTCAACCGAAAATATATGTGCCCACTAACCATGCTAACATGAATAAAACGGCAAATAGGATTCTATCTAGAACATAGGGATTTGTGGAACTCTGACAACAGTACATACCCACCAATTAGACCGTTGCAAATATGACAAAAGACCATATCAAATATGTTAATAAGGATACTAACGAAACTAAAAGACCGGCTTCTTATCTTGATGTTTTCCTTGATACCGATACATATGGACGATTTCAAACTAGAATCTAAGACACTCATGATGGTATCATCTTTGCAAATATTTAAATACTGATATTGTTGGATAGTAATTGAAAAAGAGGATGACATTTGAGAGTACAATTGAAAAAGGGGGACGTGAGTATTTGAAAGATTATCCGTCAGTATCAACGTTTGACATATGAACAACTAACATCAAAATATTTTTTAATAAATTATCGCCTTCTCATATAATGTTTCAACGACAAAAGCAGTGAACGGCAAGGAGACTGGATGTCGCAATTTGAATACAGCTATTCATGGGAACTAGATGTACATAAAATTTAAAGAAAACGATTAGCTGAAATTTCTAAGGTCCCATCGTTGGATATTTTTTGTATGTAAATAAGATCAACTACGTTTTATATAAAACGCCTCGCGATATTTTGTCAATTATCAATACTTCTATTTTTGTTGGATAGACATATATATATATATACTGGCTTAAAATGAAATTAAGTATGCAAAATAGCCTTCAAATTTACATTCAAATATTTACTCAAATAACATAAAAATACTGTTTCTATAGCCAGAAACCATTGATTACATAAATACAAAATCTGTATATGTTGTACAATTTCTTGATTTTCCTTGTTTGTATTAACATTGTATGACAAAGCTTCTCTCAAATTATTTTGTTTCATGCCGATATAAGCAACAACATATCCCTATATCTATATATAAGAAGATGTGGTATGAGTGCCAATGAGACAACTCTCCATCCAAGTCAAAATTTATAAAAGTAAACCAAAATAGGTCAAAGTACGGTCTTCAACACGGAGCCTTGGCTCACACCGAACAGCGAGCTATAAAGGGCCCCAAAAGTTACTAGTGTAAAACCATTCAAACGGGAAAACCAACGGTCTAATCTATATAAAAAACGAGAAACGAGAAACACTTATGAACCACATCAACATACGACAACTACTGAACATCAGATTCCTCCACGTTTTATTTTTTCTCGTTTGAATTGTGTTACGTTTCGAGGCCTTTTATAGCTTACTATGCGGTACGGGTTTTGATCATTGTTGAAGGTTATACGGTGACCTATAGTTGTTAACTTTTATGTCATTTGGTCTCTGGTGGAGAATTGCCTCATTGACAATCATACCACATCTTCTTTTTTTATAGCTACATATTTCGATAGCTATATATCATACGATTCGGACGCAAGAGGTTTTTACAGTGTTGTTTTCATTTTGTTTACCCTTGTCTTTATATTTTACCTTATTTGTACTTTATCGAGAAAGTGTATACTTTAT